TGGTGCATGGAAATATGTAATGACACTTTATGTATCCTTTATATTTTTTCACGGGGTAGTGTGCCAGAAATTGCTTTGGACATCAGAAGTCTTTAGATGTTTTTTTTTTTTTTATGTCTCAAGCGTGTTAATGGGATTGGTTTAATGTAGCATTAAAAAGACAGGTTAAGACCTATCATGGATTAGAGAAGGTACAACCACATGGCAAGAATAATATAAAAAATATTGCAAGAACTATTTTGAAAGAAGGAAAACAAAAAACATGAATGAAGTAAATACAAGTAAAAGTTCCCTGCAAGGTTAAATTCAAATAATTCAAAATCTCATAATAACAAAAACTAATAACAGATATGCTACCTTTATGCAAGTTAGCTTTGTGCAAATCAGTTTTTCTTTTAAAGCTTCTTAAATACATTTTATATCAGATGACCTGCTTGAGATCAAATGAGGGGGGAATATCACAAGAACTGAGATAAAAGCTCAGCTAAAAAGTCCATCTGATTTTTTCCTCTGTAATTAGGTTTTTATGCGAAAAAACATTATTTTTTTTTTATTTCTAGTTGATGAAAAAGTTGCATGATGCCTGCAGAAAACACACTATAGGCTAGAGCTAGAGATCGTTTTGGCCCACGTAGAATCAACCAGCAATTTAAAGCTACAGTGTGTAATAATTACAGGGATATACAGTCAGAAATGTAATATATTATACATAACTATGTTATTTATCATCATCTACGAGCTCAGCCTCTTAACCTTAATATTTGCATTGCCTTAGAATTCGTTATTTATAATTACATAGGAGCGGGTCTCGCAGCCATGGAGGCAGACATCTTTGCGCTACGGCAGCGCAGAGCCAACAAACTAGCGATTGCGAGATCGCCAAAACGTCACAAAGATGTAGAAAAAATAACGGGTATATTTATTATCTAAAGTCTACATGAAATCTATACCCTACACAGACTAATGAAATACTATCTGTAAAATTATCTATGTAAACAAACCTCATCACTTGAGAAGGTAGGTGATGCGGACGTCGTGGAAGACATTTTGTCCCGTAACGCTCGCCGTACTGTTGGGGGGGAGAAGCGGGGGGGGGAGATGTTCATGTTGCTGCAGTCTGCAGTGTGACCGCTAGATGTCGCTAAAAGTTAAACACTGTAGCTTTAAAGTCATTTACATAAAGAGTTTAAATTTGTCATAAATCCAAGTTCCACTGAATGATGTACAAAGTTTGAAATGTAATGCTTTATCACAAATGTTGAGAAACATTTTACCCTTACCTATAGTTATTTTGACCAAAAGCATACTGATGCATAACAATTTGTTTATTGTCTCTGTCGAAAAAAAAAAAATATCACAGGTTTTGTTTAGTTTCTTTTTAAATATTTATTATTTCAAGCCATGTTTATCTTATTACGGCAAAAATCTACCACCTCTTTGGGAGTTTTTAATAATTCTCATGCTTGTTAAAAATTGGAAAAAATCATTTTCACATTATGAATTTTTTCCAAACTTGACATTATTATATTTTATGTTTGTATTTTTTTATTCTAAACTGATATATACTATACACTTTTGGTTCTTTTTTGCTAATTTAGTATACAAAACTGCATGCATAATAAACAAACTATAACAATAATGATCAATATGATTGTTATATATTTGTTCTAAATTTAGATTCTTTATGCTTATTAAATATTTTAAGAGGAAACAGCCTCAGTTCTTTAATATTTTATCAATCTGTCCAGTCAGGATTTTGGAGATGATTACAAAAGTCTACTGATTGCAGATCACCAATCATGGCATCAGATCCATACATTCTTCAACTGCGCTATTGTACGCTGACATTGTATTTTAAGAATCAAAATTGTAGGAGATGAGGATGTATCATGAACTGACCACTGTTTTAGTGTAATAGGCAGTGGTGGCAAGCTTTTTATAATCCCCCCACCCTGGCACTGAGAGAAATATTGTTGACAAAAGATGCAATTGTCTTAAGAGGTTTTAAGGCAGCTTTTAAATAAGTTGTTTTGATTTCGATTTTTGAAGTAGGGTTATGCAAAAGATTGTAAGATTGTTGAGGTCACATAATGAACTGCAGTTCTATGCTGATCCATCAACATACCTCATGTAATACATAATCAGCCTTACCAACCAATCATAGCAAATAACCTATAGTGAAACATTTTTTTACTTACAGTAGCAGCATGGAGAACCATGGCTGAAAGCCAGAGGAGTTGGTCACCAAAAAAAACAAAACCCTCTATTTCCATTATATGGGACTTGTTTGGCTTTCCCCAAATGACTGCATTGCAAAGAAAAGTAATTTGCAACATTTGCCGCACATCAGATGGCAACACGTTAAAGTTGTTTTATCACTTGAAGAGAAAGCACCCCATTCAGTAAGAGAGCCAAATAGCGAAGATATTGTGCCAAAATGTGAACGACTGCCAGAAAGTGATTAACGGCTGTGGGAGCGAGGAACCGTTTTTAGTTCTTCCTCTCTTCATTGAACCACTACAATTTCGCAATTTCCCACGACTGCCTTGCTGAGAAGATTGTGTTTTTGTGAAACGTTAGAGATTCAATTGATTGATTACGAAGTACAGACGATGAGATAAGATGAAAGGATTTTAAAGGATGTTACTGCTTTACTGTTCTGGCTATGTTTTTGCCTTTTATGTTACATTTCTTAGGGTTTATGAGTTTTATCATAACTAAAGTGCCATTACAGCTGATTTCTTTTAATAATTTTTTTACTGTAAATGGCTTAAGGTAAAGCTAAGCTTCAAAATAGGTTTTTTTTTTTTCTTGCCATAAATTAAATGCAATACAATTGCAATTGTAAGGTAAAGAAAGAACAAAAAATATTCAACAAAGCATTTAAATGTCCACAGTTTATTTAGAAAAAAAATGCATTGATATTTTTGGTAAATTTATTCCTTTCATACCCCTCCAATTCCTTTACAAGGATTAGTTATGATTAATAACTGTATATTTTCTACTCCTAAAAACTGATAAAGATAATAGCTGCATTCTACACCATAATGCAATAGTGCTGAGAAATCCCAAATTGGTCTATATTAGTCTATTGACCTAAAATATATCTCTTTCTCTTTAAAACCACACTGAACCCCCAGCGATAAGACAGAGGCCTGAATCGCTTTCTGTCAACCCAAATGGCTATTATAGGATTAGTATACCTTTAAGTGGAAAGAGGTGGGTGAATTTAAAATGACCTTATAATATATGAGCAGAAAGTGTTTGAATACATAGACCTGCAAATTATTCTCAAACATATCTGCAAGATGGTGATAAAACCAAAATTGTAATTTTATAGTAAAAAGAAATCTCAATATGATATTTTTGCCGTATTGCCCACCCCTTCCTAGAAGGACTGTTTCTTGTTCTACTTCCACACCAACCAGCTGTTGCATACTATGCTGTGTGCCCGGCATGCTTGTCTGATCCCAGAATTTCACTCTTCCATCTCCAGCAGGAAGCCTTTAGAGGCTAGTCTTGGAAGCTGTAGCCTCTACCTGCTCCTCCTGTCTGACAGCTTCTCAAAAGTACCACTGTCTTACTGTCTGCCGGCAGTAGCCTCTGCATTTAAGAGTACTGTTTCCCCACCATGCTCCTTCAATTCTCCGGAGTTAGCCTAGCTAGCTTCGCTCAGCTGTAGCCTCTTCCTGCCCTGGTGCTTTTTCCCTGGAGCTTTTATTATCTACCACTCTGCTCTTCCATGCTCCTCTTTAGCTGCCGCTCTGGTGTGCTGTCTTCCCAGTGGGCCCCTAAAATCTATCGCTGTGCTTCCTTAGCTCCAGAGGGTGGCATGGCTGGCCCCACTCATCCTTGTTATAGTACTTTCTCTCTCCTGTTGTTCTGACACTGATTACTTACTGCTGCTGCCTGAGCTCAAAATGCTGTCTCTCTTTACCTCTGTTGTTGGATTTTTTGTGCCTGTGTTTTGGGCATCCTGACCAAAACAAGCATTGACCAAACACAGGAGAAAGATGCCTGTCTCTTGCTTTTAACAATAGCCAACCAGTCATGTACGATCATGTGAAAATGGTCCGATTTCCAACCACCACCATTTCACCGGTGCAAGTCTACCTGTCATTATAGTAATTATTTTGCCTTTAGAAATATTTACTTCTCAAAATATATTAATTTGTGAGTAACTATATATTTGGTAAATAAATTGCAATACTTGTGTCTAAGTAACTTCTTTCAGATGATATGTGAGAAAATTTCATAGTTGTTTGCATTTATTCAATTACATGCTAATTTTTAAAATGCATCAGTGTAAATGCTCTGCTCTAGCCTTGATAAGTGGTACTTTAGATGGAACCTTATTTACTTAAAATAACACTTAATTAGTGATGTTACAACCATCATCAAAAATAGGGTATTAATTAAATCATATGGAGATGTGATACTTATGGGACAAATTTATTTTTTTGATTAGATTTCAGTTTAATATAGAAAAAAGCTGATGAGTTCCATCAGGACCAATGTCTCCACCCACTCTAGCATTTATTTTTTAAAGGAAACATTTCAGTAAGCAGATGTTGCATCCTTGTCAACTTCACTCCTCACAACTGCTTAGATAGCTCAATTAAAGTATCTATATCTTAATTAGGCATCATCGTTCATGAAGATGTTTGTGCAGGTCAGATGCTGCCTCTTTGTTGGTAACTACAGTATGTATTATAATTAGGTCTTTTCCCCTATAAACTGTTTGACAACTGTTCTGTTGTAATTATTGACCCAACAGATGTTTTATAAAGAAATGCTTAAATTTACCACAGTACTCATTTTGTAATTAGAAATTTCACATATTTCTTTAATTTACCTCTGTTAAAAATGTAATCCTTTGATTCCTGCCTTGTGTCTATTTTCCACACACTGTTTTAAATATTGTATTTCCCTACTGTAGATATTTTCTTTAACTGAAAATCATCTTGCCAACATTGTTCTCTGCTTTTGTCTTCTTGCAGGATGATTCCATCCACCTCCAATGATTTTCTGGTCCGGGATCTTGCTGCTGGACGCAGCTACGATCTCTGTGTTCTGGCTGTATTCGATGACATCGTTACATCACTGACTGCAACACGTCCTTTGGGCTGCCTTTCATTCACTACAGACACAGAGTTCAGCCAGTGTCAAGCACTTCATAGCCACTTCTTGGGTGGGACAATGATCATTATCATTGGAGGGATTATAGTTGCATCTGTGCTAGTTTTCATCATTATTTTAATGATACGGTACAAAGTTTACAGTCATCAAGGCACTGGCCACGGAAAAGCCACCATTGCAGCGACGGCACCGAGGCCACAGAGTAATGGACAAGGAGGGAGCCAGGTCCAAGTCCTCTGTCAATCTCCTTCAAAGATGATTGACAGTCAGGACGAAGAGGTCCTCCTGCCATCTAGGGCAATGTCACCTAGCAACACAACAAAAGACACGGTGGCATTGGTTGAGGAGGAGAGCAGTGGACAGTGCGTCATGGCAAAAACAGACTCCTCGGTTAATGAAGAGTTGCTCTCCCCAACTAAGACCCGCTTCTCTTCCAGGGTTTCAATTGAGATGAAAATCAGACAACAATCTGTCACCAAAGACCCCTCATCTTCCAAGGATCTAGCAGGTAGTGGGACCACACAGAAGCATGATGAATAAATATAGTATATTCGGTATAGAGAATACCAATCAACAGAGCATGGAAAAAAGTGTTTTAAAGGAGGGAAGGAAAAACTAATAAGTTGAAAAACTAAAGAGTGGGAGTTTGGAGACATACAAAGAAAGGGCACAAATAATGCCAAACAGATACAAATAGACAATGTCTAATTCATAGAGTGTAATTGAGAAAGATAATAATGGAGCAAAACAGCAATAAATTGGGTGAGTGTGAATCTGTGATTGGAAATGATAAATGTCCCCCTTTATGCACATAAGGGGAGAAAACCTTTTGTTTTATGCCTACACTAGGATGTCCTATTTAACCCATTCTTATTGACCATCCAAAATATGAAAACAATTTTTTGATTTAATGTTTATAATTTTGCCCACCACAGATTTAAAGCTATTTAAACTTTAACAGGTTTCATCATTTTTTGTTTTCCCGACTTCACATAAACCAGGTCCCATAGGCAGCACTTTTGCCAGGCCTCTTTAAGATTGAATTAAAATTAAATATCAGTGATGCTGTTAAAGGAAAGAGGGACAGAAACATAAAATCAACCCTTTAAAAAAAAAATAGTTTGGGCAAAGATTGCTATGCTTGTGTAGATTTGTGGGGGTTAAAGTCAAGCCTCTAAAAAAGGAAGGATATCATCTGATATGTAGCCGTCCGCTTATTGAAATCTTTATTTAAGGAGACACAGTTAATACCTTGAAACTAAAAATAGCAAATCCCTGAATTTATCTATGCATTAAAATTTGGTAAAGGATAGTATAGTGAGTATAGGTCTAAGCATTCAAGTGCTGACCAGTTAAGGAAAGAATTGACTGTTGATTCATTAGTGATTAGAGATACTGATCATATTGAGTCAGGAATAGATAGAAAATTATGTATTGCCTTCAGTGGGGATATTCAGGAATGGTATATATTTTTATACTATGTTATGATAGAGGCTATGCTATCATTGTTGCTCTTGGTTCTTTTCTGTTTGTTTGTTTTTTTTTATTCTACAAATTGGGTTAAAATCTCTGTTAACTGACAACACAACTTAGATTTGAGTATAGCTGCTATTAATCAATATTTTTTTATAGCTTTATTATCTGGGGATCATTGAGTAAATAGAATAGATAAGAAACATTTTCTATTTCCCCTCATGGGAAATAAAAAAAGGTTAAAGCAGGAGATAAAATGAATAAACCTTGATGTTACAGCGAGTGAAACTATACATTTTAATCAGTGTTATTAATGTTTGAAAGCTATTATCATATTTCCTGTTGTACTACAAAAGTAGGCATTTTAAATGGTCTGAATAATTAGGATATTATTTCTAGGTGTCAGAAAGTCCTTCTCTATCATTGCTTGATTATCCTATTCACAATACTATAATCAACAAATCCCAAGTCTGGACTGCAGACCATTCAATTACTGCAGACCAGTCAAGTACACACTCATGATGCTGAAATTATGTAACTCCTACAGAAAGAGGTCTGCCTTTGATAACATTATTACAGTATATATATCTGCTGTGTATATTCATAATGAAGGGGTCATAGGACCACACAAGTTAAATCAAAATCAAGCAAACAAGAGCTGGCTGTGGATATGTCTTTCCCCCTTAACCACTGTATTAATTTAACTGATTAGCATTGAGTATAGCATTGCCTATGTTTGTGTTACCTTTCATGTCTGTCTTTAGTCATTCTCATATTTTTTATTAAACTCCATTGCAAGAATTTGACACTATATTTGTTTAAATTAGAAGTGGCAAATTCTGCTTTTTAGGAACAGTATCTTGCATCGATGTAGGAATGCCCCACGATGAAAAAATGAAAAGAATAATTTATTTTAGTACATTTCCAAATTAAACTTACCTTTCAAATTTTAGAATATCTCTGCAAATCAAAAACTGTTGTGTAAGACAGTAATTTTAAGGCTTTGCATTTTTGGGGAAACTTATTATATGATATATAAGGAAAGCACAGGTGCAAACCAGGAAACCATCCGTTAAATCATACAGCATCATCTTTCAAACTTTGTCTTCTGATATATAATTGAAATTCTGAGCAGAAAAATGTAACAGGAAAAATACCAATAAAACCCTAACAAAAGACTTTTGACCTTGAAGAGTAGAACCATAAAGGAAACAGAAAAAAGCTCTTTCACACCCACAAATATGCTTTCACTGCTTTCACTAAAAACAAATTTTCTGAGGATGGTGGAGATATTTTGAATGACGGTACAAACCCAGAACAGCACAAATCCAGTGTCCAGTACAAGTTATTTTTAATAGAGAAATAATTCCTTTTCACCATGTTATGGCGAACATAATAGGGAGGACTACACCTCTGATAATTGCTTAGCCATCATTGACAGCCTCCATTCGATGTAAAAGCAAAAACACATCTTTACAAACTTTTTTTTTCTGTCTTTCTGAATGAGTAGAACATCCCTTTTAAGTGCATCAGACAGGAAAGATCCTGTACAGGAGTTTTCCCAGCATTAACAAGTTGGGAAGTAAATATAACAGCTGCACTGACTAACAAGCTCAATTTGTGTCACCAAGTTTGCCCTCATGTGCTATGTTTTTCCAGACAAACCTACATAGGGATAAAACTAGCTAGTTTTCCTTGCAATTCAATCCCTTTTACCATTGAATCGGATGCTAAATTGGTACAATGCATCTTGTTCTTAATATACAAGAGGTAATTGCTTGAAAAGCTAATAGTACAAAGATCCAAGTCTATTACTAACAAAGTTAAATGAAAGAAAAAAACTTGTGACAGAAAAAGTACGAAAGAAAACAGGGATAGTTGCATCTTCGAGAGAATTAAGATGCTTAATCAAAATAAGGCATGACAAGTTGATTAATATTGCAGATCTCAGGAGCAAGGGAATTGAAAGTGCTGTAAGTGGAGACTGGGAATGGATGTGGCACTTTTAATGTTATTCAACTACTCTGAGCCAATACAGTTTAAATGTGATTATATGGGGCAGTGTCATATACTTTACTTGTATATAATTTAAAAAAAATACCTTGTCTGTTACAACCTATGACAGCTGCAACACTTCTCAGGGACAGTGACAACCTGTCATGAATCCATTCATTAAATGCTATTTTGAGAATTTGTGTAATTTATAAAAAGTAACACCTAAACTGCAACCTTGAACTCTGAAGAGTGTACATAAGACATCCCAAAATGAAATAATGGAATTTCAAAACTTTTTCCAAATACTATTAAATATCTCAAAATAATATGAAAAACAACTTATTTAGATAGTCATAAAATCCAAAAAGCCTGTTTTGAAATAAAAAATAGATAATAAATAAATAAATAAGAGTAGACATGAAATGTATTTGTTAAACTTTTTTAATGGAAATTCAAATGATATCTAACAGCCCCCTCCCTCCTTCAGTTGGTGTATTCCCATTTGTGGTATTAGTAAAAAAGACATCCAACTGTGCAATCTTTAGGTGCCCAGGTCTTGCAAATCCAGCACTTTTGACACACTTCCCTTGATTTTGATTAGGGCTGCAGCTTGGGGACAGCTGTCACAGGTGCTGCAAATTTAAGATTACATGTTAAGTGTACATGTCTTCTGTAAAATAAGTGTGTCTCCTCTTTATTGCAAATCAAAATACGGTAATACAAATTAACAAACTAATTTGACCATAGAACATCAGCTGAAATTATCTTATTGGTACTTCATCGGTTTTATCAAGGAGTTCAGTTCATTTATCTAACTTATTGCTAAAATTTTCAGAAAGCTGCCAAGCTCAATCATAGCTAATTGAGGCTCTTACCATGCAGAAATCTGCCCCTGATTAAATATCTACTGTAAGTAAGGGGTTGTTTAACATGATCTAGGGCTCATTTATGAAAAGGCTATGTAAAAAAAGTTTTTTTTAGCAAAAGGTAAATATAATGAGATGTCAGAGCCATTCACGTCACCTTATCAAGTTTCCAGTTGCCATCCATTATTATGATTAAAGGTCAAGATATATATATATATATATATAATTATATATAAGTTGCCATCCATTATTTAAATGTCAAGATATATAATTATATGATTATTCTTATATAATTATGATGCAAACTATTAAGCTCTCTTCCTTAGGTCCAAAAATTATTATTTCTTTTGATTAATCTAAAACATTTTTGGCTCGTCCATGCATTCATTTCTTCCCTGCATTTAGACTCTAAATGGGTTCTTGGTTTCCTGGTGACAGCTTAATGTATAACTGTGTATTGTCTACTCAGCTATGGTAACAAATAGTTGTTTATTAAAAGTTTGGAGATTGACACACAATCCTGTCCAGGTTATAAGCAGCAGCTGTTCACTTAGTTTTTAATTTTTTAATTTAGGCCACTGCTTAATCAGAGACAACTTTAGCAGTGACTTTTTTAAGAACAAGGAAATAAAGCACAGGGGTTTAGGTTAACACTTTTAATCAATTATAAAACTTTACAACAACTACAAGCTGATAGTATCTATGTCCTCCTGCACTGCGATAGTAATTAATTCAGAGGGAGTTTCAGTAAGCAAATATATCTGTAATGAATATGATTTGGTTTTCTGTAGTATTCATACTTGAAAAACTAAGTTGTAGTTTTCATTATTTACTTTAAATCAAAAATGACCGAAATCTACACAAAATATATCAATGTGTTTGTTAAATACATATGTTACATCAGTCTCAGTTAAAAAATGAAAATTAAGTAACTAAGAACAAATTTTAAGTCATGTTTGAATTTACTGAAATGCATCTATGTTGTTCCCTCTATATTGCTCCCTTTTTTAGGCTCCTTTTCACTGATCCATTTTTCGCTTAAAAGTATTGTGGAGGATTTTTGTGAATATTTTAAAAGACCACCCGTCCACTTTAATAAAAAAAAAAAAAAAATTCATATGCGAGAGCATGCACGAGGCCAATTCTCCTCTTGCTCGCTCTGTTTTAATGTTGCTGTTCTCATAGTTCATACAAGCTTACTGTACCCAAAAGTCTGCTCTAAAACCCTAAATCCTTCAATTACTATATAGAGCAGGAACTATATAGTGGACTTTATAGCAAACTCAGTTACCGTTAGGACAGATGATCACTGCTTTTTGCTCCATTGGTCACATAACTCCTCCATTAGTCGCCACTGTTGGGTAGCGACAGCCTATGGTGACAGTGGGCCACTGGGACAGCAAATCCCACAATGCTTTGCGAGGAGAGTTCTCTGTGCAAAGCATTCCGGGATATATCTGCCTCTCCTAAGGCCTTTCTTTTCTTCTCATACACTTCGTAGACACTTTTTCCAGAATTTTCAAGAATTTTATCAAAATAGATGAAAAAACATCCAAGATTCTAATAGCACATGATATTTAAATTAGAGGAAACTGATGATTGTACACTTTGCTCTGATAGACAATTTTTAAAAGCAACATATCTTTAAGTAATATTATGATTGCAAGCAAAGACTTTTGGATATAGTGGCCTCTTTACTGTGTAATCAGACCCACTTCCCCTGATTCACACTGCTGAAGTAACTACATATAGTCTTGAAGTTCACTTGAAATGCTAAGGCGTATTATAATAATATAAATCCACCTGAGCGTGTGAAATCTTTTTCTGGTCATATGCTCTGCGTACTAAATCTACACCGGAGCGTTTTGCCCGCTCAACTTTAATCCTTGGAAAAGTAGGGGTTTTAATGGGATGAATAAACGGAGACACCTTTTAACACGAGTGGCTTAAATAGCTGAGTTGAAATACTTTATCAGTTGTTGATATGTCATTCAATTGGACTATGTGAATGGATTTATGAGAGCTGTCAGTGAGCCTTACATTGATAGTGGCAGGAGAACAGGAGATATGTGCAGCATATAGAAGCTTAGCCAGAAGGTTCAGGGAAAGGGCTCTCTGTTGTGAACTTTGCAGAATCTGCAGTAAGTCAGCTGTTTATAACTCAATTGAATCCACACTACATGACAGTCGGTAAGCTTTATAGGATAGAGGAATTACAAGTAATTGACTTTAAAGATTTTAAGTCATTTTTCCCACCTCTGATGCATGGAAGAGATGCAGAAAGCTGAGTTGGTTAGAGACTGCAAGTCAAAGAAGTCAGGGGAAACCCTATTATAGCTGAAATATTAGATATTATTATTATAATTATTGTTGAACTGAAATGGAACCAACTAAATTTTTTCCCCTGCAGCCCTTATTAACTTTCTGTCCTCAACTTCTCTTAAATAAATGAAGTTTAAAATTCAAAGGAGATTCCAAAGAATCTCCAAAACAGGATAGACTAACAATCCAACCATTTTATTTTTTATTTTGAGAATTTACTCTGGAACATAAAGCACTGGCCTTTTTTTGTACTTTGTTTCCTTCCTTTGATTTCAGCTTCAGTGGAACTCACAGGGCAACCAACAGTGAGGGACAATACTCCCGCGGGGGTGCAATGGCTCCTTGGGTTTCTCTGAACGTGTAACTGTGTTTGTGAAGTATTTCACTGGTTGCTGCAATGCAGAGAAAGGAAACATTGATTTGATCAAAGAAAGAGCTGCATCGAGTCAGAAAGCCGGAGGGAAAGAACAATTGACAGACACATGGAGAGACCTAGGCGTAGAACTGTCATATGTATGATGACTAAACACATACACATACCCACACTTTATCAATTCTTCTAAGATTATTTTTATGAATTTACTGAATTGCTAGTTTTGTTGGACGTAAGCTATTTTTAAAAATCCTGTTAAAGCTGCTGCTACCTGGAAGAGAGAGAAAGTTTGCTTTTCCTACTTTTATGCAGCATGTTGACTACAAGGAAACTTGCAGATTCTAATGATAACCATGAGAAAGGTATTGCTATTTATTGTAGTCACACTTTAGATTATGACCACCTGCCTAATATATTTGTTTTCAGATTGTTGAGAAAAAAAACCCTGACTTGCCAAGGCATATTTTTCTATCCCCCTAAGTTTGTGCCATGATAAGTGCACATTTATGCACCAGATTATTTTCTATTAGTAGTTGGTATTTTTCATGGATCAAGAGGTATGTACGGCATAGAGTAGCCTAACTGTTATCCAGCATAGCGCAGATTCTTCTTTTGACTTAAACCTGGATGCTTTAAATATTTAATGCATATAATAATGTGTACTGTTGCAGGACCAACATTGTATTCAGTTTAAAAGTACTTTATTAGTCCCAAACAGAAAGAAATATTGCTTTTATTCATGTTAGGTGGTGTCTTCAAAGAGTTGTTGTAGAGGCTGATGCCTGTAGGGTGGAAGGATTTCATGTAGGATCGACTTGAATGTGAAAATAACTTTTCACACTCTAAAGGGCTCTACCTTAACTCATCTTTTCAAAGCCCCCTCCCTGAAGGCCCAGTAAAAGTGCAAACCGCAAACAAGACACATTTCTTTCAGATCAAGGGCAGTGTTATTATGAAAGAGAAAACTTTCCTTTGGTTTACAAGCTGTCACCTCCTTAAAAAATGCAGTCAAACAATCAGTGATGTCTTTTTCTTACATAGTTTTTTACAGCTACTTCTCAAAAGAACTACATAACTAATACTGTATATATTGTAAAGTCAATAACTCAAGAACATTGTGAAGATTAAGTTTTAAATCCTTTAGTATACAGTTGGTATAAGATACAAATTTACTTTTGGGACCAAAATCTAAATGGGTAACTATGGTTAATTCTTAATTCATGAGCTTTTTAAGTGAAATCTGTGGTTACTGTATGTTCGAATGCAATAAAAACCCCAAACATTATAAATTCCTTAAGCCAGTGCAAATGGTCACAAGGTTATTCTGTATTGAAAAACAGCACAACATGAGGATGTGAGTGTGTCAGTGTGAAGTGCAAGTGTGTGTTTCTCCGCCGGCCCCTCAATGACCCTGTAGCCTGTCAGTACTTCTTGTATTTTAATCTATCATCACTCTCCTCATTGTCATCCCATATGCCCAACCTCATTCTTCACTGGCACCTGTCTCAGTAGATTCAACTTGTCCGATTACCTACATTTTCTCACCCTGCTGTCTTTCTGAGAAACCTCACACTCTCTCCTGCTCTCTCTCTCATTCTTTCTCTTCCTTTACTGACTTTTTGTTTTCTTCAGTATTTCTCAACCTGCCTTTGCATTATTGGTCTAAATTCAAACTTTTGTTTGTTCACTCCCTGCTTTCCTTGTGGTGTCTATGTGTTCTTTTCATCTACATTTTTCATGTATCTCTGATTCTTTAATACCTCTATAACAGCAGATGGCAGAAGGCCTCCCAGTGTGGAATGGAGAAACTTTAAGATCTGAATGGTCTTTTGGGCTCAAGAAGACATGGCGCCAGCAGAACATTCAAAGAGTAATGACTTTTGCACCGTGGATATTTTCCTCCTATATTGCCCTCTGTCCTGCCCACGTTTCTGCTCCCAACCTGCACTTAGCTAATGAGGTGTCATGTGTAAAATGTTGCCCCCTGACCCTTTCCTTGTCTTTTTCCTTTTTTTGGTTAGGTCATATTACATCCTCATTTCTTCCTCTGGCTTTTGTTTTCACTCACGAACCATTGCAAGCCGCAGTCACTTCCAGCAGTCACTTCATCTCATTTATTTCATTGACATTGTGTGATGGAGAAAAAAAAACCCCACTGAAATAGAAGATGATGAAAGACGGTAAAGAGGTGCAGTTGTTATAATGGATGACTAAACACTGATGACTCAGAAGGACAGAGCTTCATCCATTAGATTAGAGAAAAACTGCGCCATGACCCCAAATGAGAAATAGTTGACCTGATAAATAAAGCACAAATTGAAGATACCAAAAACTGTCAGGACACATTTTTAATCTTACTTTGATTTTACAGATGGTAATAGACAGTGTCCTATAATTGTCATCTACAGATAAAAAAAAAATCCTAGTAAAAGTTTGATTCTATTTATTAGGAAAACAAAATTTTATAAAAACTAGCCTGTACATTCATTGCAACTCACCCATTAGCCTTTTGGAAAAATAGACAGCACGTCTTTAATGAAAACTACAAGTCAAAACCCAGAATTGGCAGCTTTGTCCTTTTCAAGTGTATTGCTTTAAGCAAGATTTAAGGATTCTAGGCTTAAAGAATGACATTTAAACCTTTAGCCCCTGCATGCTTTTTAGAACCAGATAATTTAATGTTTCCCTTGAAAGAAATGCATATCTACTACAAGGCCAAAAAATACCTTTCTTTAAACTCATATAGCTATTTTCGAGCACGGCTACCCTTTACTTGCTAACTGTAGTTCTAAAACAGTAATACATTTATAAGAGTCTTGTTTTATGCTTCTTTAGTTTTTAAGTGTTGCATTTTGTAAGTGAGGAAAAATTGAACATGGTTAAACCTGGTTTACCTGAAACTGATCTGAAACGAATCACCTATACAGTAGATCTTGGAGCTGAGCATATTACAGTATGGGTTACTATGTTTTCCAGTATATTTGCTTTTATCCTGTTCAAAATGTTATTTTACAGATCTTACAAATCTTTTGAAAGCATTTTTTTTCTTTTTGTTGTTTAACCCTGATCCTCTGCTTTTTTACCTATGTTCAGACCGAGTGAGATTTCTTTTATTTTTTTTTATTTTTTAAGTAAATGCAAAATCTCTGCAACCTCCTAAAATTTTAACTGGAACAGTTGTATTGGTCTGTTTACACATGTTGTCTGAATCTCCTGTTTTTCAGAACCCTGACGCTGTTTTCCTGTCAGATTTGGAAAATGAACATCACCAAACACAAGAAGGATGCGATAACTCTCAAGAATATAATGCCCTATAGCTAATCTCCCTGCATCTCCTGTTATCTGCATCCCTTAATTTCTTTTTCATGAACACCATGGTGTCAGAGACCCAAACTGTCCGATTTATTTTCAAGTGCTTTTACTGGTTCTCAGATCCAGATTGGACTACCAGTCAAGACCTTGTAAAGCTGGGATCGTCTGGAATCACTTATCATCTAAGGGCATTTTCCACTTTAACCGATATGTATCAGTGGGAAAAGTGAAAGAAAAATGATCAAACTGCAATAGGATATGATAAAAAATATGAAGTAACAACCACAGTCAGGAACCGCACTAACAGACTGAGTGGATGGTAGAAAGAGGGCAAAAATGAAAAGTTGATCATCATCAAGAAAAAAAAAAAATCCAATGTTATTTCCACCAAAGCTGGCTGTACATTTTGAGTCTGGTGTTTCATATAAGCATAGCCTAACCTAGCACATAGGACATATACAGACGCTGACTTCATGAGGCTCCATTCTATTCATCAACACTGAATAAGAAAGTTCTATAAAATGTGAATGAACTCCTCCTTTCCAAAGTCTGCTCATCTGCAACTGGATCTGTACTGTGACTAGACCAAGTGAGATTGATCTTTTAATTAGAATACATCTTTTGGAAATAAAGTATCCAGTAAAACCAAACTGAACAAGCACCCTCTATGGAGAAAAAGGACAATGTGGAACTACAGCAGCCTGAACTGGAAATCTATGCCAAATCAACATGGACTACATAGTTTTCAGTCTGCTCCTGCTCAAGGCATGTATGCTCCGTTTAACACTGGATGGTACTGGTGAAGACCTTAAGGACCATTATTGACTTCTCTCACATCTCTCCAGGACCCTTCAAACAGGTGAGTAGTCAATTGTTTGTGCAATTAGCTTAGGCAAAAGAGCAATCAAATGAGTAGCTTTTACAGCCAAATAGTCAACTTCAGTGCAGTAATTAGTGTGACATATGGTACCCATCAGTGGCATCCATGGGCATTCAACAATATTGGGAGCTGCCTGATAGCTTAGAAAACATTTAGACTCTACAGTTCTTTCTACAGTTCCTTATAGTAAACTAATGAGGGCAACAGTTTAACAAGGCTCTCTCTAATTGCTGTCAGCAAGAAAATTAGAACACCTTAACCGCTAAGCAATCTGTTTCATTAGGACTTTCTGGGGACAATGTCACGACAGGAATCGCATTTCGACTCCAGTTTATTTGTGGGGCTTTGAGTGTATAAGCAGCTCTATTCCTCACACACCTTTTCTCCATTTGTCTGTTCAATCTCTCCCTTTATCTGGCCAACTAAGACAATGATTGAATACTGGTGGAAAATGTAATATGATAGGGGCAGGTATGGTTTTAAGCAAACGCCACAGCCTTAAGGGAAATTATTTGCCCGTACAAGAGAGGGTCATTGATATATATTTTATCAGTTTAAACAGAGATGGGAGTCATGATCTGCAGAGTAAGAGTCTCATCTACATCTTAGGGATTCACTTTTAGTTTGAAATGCATTGTGTTTATGATAATCAGTGGCATCTTAGGTTATTAATTTACTTGTCCCAACTGGAAAGACACTTTCAGATATTAATTAGATTTTAAAGTAATAGAAAATGGCCACAATAAGAAAAGATGTTTATATGGTTCTGCATCGCTAAATTTTTCATCAGTTAAATAGAACGTCTCTCCTCAAACACTTTGCACTTAAGGACTGCCAATTGCCACGTAAGTGTCACTAACACCCCTGTTGTTTTAATGGGTATTAAAATCACAATTTCAATTTCCTCTGCTGAGCATCGTTGGAAGGATTGTTCCAGCAACCATGTGGTTATGAGTTTATGATCGAACAAAATTTGTCTGCTCACTCATACTTTCCCTAATCTAGTTAAATTACTGAAAAGTACAAATGCATGTATCCTTTTAAGGCCCGTGTAATTGAGCTGAATCAGCCTCTATGTGCATTGACCGTAAAGTAACAAATGACAAATACCAACTTCGGATCAAAAATGGCCGTATGTTTACACTATTGCAGGCTTAAATTCTCACTAATCTTGCATTGTTGAAGACTGATTTTTTTTTAAAGTCTGCTTTGTCATAAAGCATGTCATTGATTGATTTTTGAACTGGTCAGTCTTTCCGCATCAACAGCCTAAAGAGGTGTCTTGGCTTTTTTTCAGGTTATGACCCTGATCTCAATGCTACAAGGGACTAAAACGCTCAGCTGCACCACTTATTATCAGTTCTAGAGTTGCTTTTATGCCTTCGATCTCTACCTCTGCTGCTAGAATCGTGTGGTTTTCCCTCTCAGAGCTGCTTGCTGAGATGTCGTTTTGTTGCTGATGGGCCTGGTTTTTCTTTTTGGTATCCATGTATCACTCCCACAGATCACTCTTTCTATTTTCGTCTGCTGTCACCTGTGGTGATATTTCCAAGTAAAGGCGAAGAAATTTGGACTAGATCTATGTGATGCACTGGACTTGGAGTCTTTTTGGTTGCTTTCCCTGGCAGTTTAAAAATAACGATCCTGGAATCCCTTCCAAATTTTCTACTTTTATTATGCCATTCATCATCCTCTGTTGAAAAGAAAAAAATATATGTATTTGATTTTGGAAATTTAAAAAGCAAGCAAGATATGTACATATGCTGAATAATAAGACACTGACATTACCTTTTTTTCCTAACTGAAATTAAATAGAACTAAAAGTTTCCTTTGATAGGTGAGTTAGGATAAACATCAGTTTTCTATTTCTTACAAATAATAAAATAATAATAAAGTTTCTTTTGATATATTTAGATGTTTAGGAAGACTAAATTGCTTTTAAGCAATATTAGAAAGCACATATGATGAAGAAATCCTTTCTTCAAATTTGGGTTATTTTACAACAGATGAAGTGGTGGTACACTTATGATACACTTTATTTAGAATATTTGAAAGAATTTTGAACATATAAAAGTCTTGTTCATTCTTTTTTACATATGGATGCCTGAAGATCCCCCATCATCTGGTCAAACAATAAAAAAAATGGAAATAATAAGGAAATAGTTTTCTTTTTCTGAACATGAATGTATTTTGTTCCCAACTACTGTATGTACATTTCTTGAACAACAGCAAAATCACTTAAATAAAATATAACGAATACACACCTAATAAAGAACTAGATACATTTTGCATTTAAAACTTGAAGAAAAGTTTAACATTAAGGACATTTTGCGACACCTTGCAAAAATACTTTTTGAAAGAAAAAGAACACCTAGCCTACGCATGTGATGTAACTTGGTGGCAACATCATCTTGTGGAGATGTTTTTTTGTTTTTTTTGTTGTTGTTTTTTTTTCTAAAAGGAGGGACTGGGAAATTTCTTAGAAAATAACATACAATGGTAATAAATAAAAGTACAGAACACAGGAAAATAAATGTAACCATTTAGGTTTAAAGAATGTAATAAAGAGTGCTTTGGAAGACTAGTGTGTTTTAATCTCAGACAGGGATAAAACAATGCTAAAGGGGGTTCAAATATGGTTTTACTTTTATTGAAAGTTGAGAAAATTAAAGGAAATAGACTATCAATGATAAATAATGGTTAGTTTAGAGATTTGAAACCTCAAATCTCTGTGATTTCTTTTTTAATGTGAACTTTTAAACCAAATAAACCAAATACTTTAATGATCATGGCATGTTTATTACTTTGATTTTGATTGAGAGATCATTACAGCAGTCATTTTTAAAATGCTGTGATAGTAAGAGACAAAATACTGTAATTATAAATTTACAAAAATATGTGAAATTCTCATCCTATATTGTTCTGCTTGTCTGAAATTTGAAAGACTAACAAACTGATACTAAACAACACCCACGCATAGACTCAGTAAAAAGGCCTTATATTTTATAGTAGACTGTGTAGGGGCGGACTGGTAGATTCTTGTGCATGCGTCTTTTCATGATCGCATGACTAACTTTTGTGTTGTTGCATGTGCCAGACAGCTAGCAGTGTAAATAACCAAACATATCTTCTTTGCTTAATAGCTTGTCCCAAGCTTACTATAGGAAGACAGAGATTCATCATGAGTAACTGTGATAGACAAAAGCAAATCTTGTGTGACAAAAAGTGTAGTTTAACAGTGCTGCATTTAATGCCATGCAAAAAGAAAAGCATGGCATTAAAGAAGCATTGGTAATATTTTATACAGATATCTTTTGATCCTTAGATAAATAGTTTTATTGTATAGAAATCTATGAGTATATGAATCAAATTCAAAGTGTAATGAATCTACTTTTATAATTTTCGAACCTCATGGATTTAAAACTGAAATTAAAAATAACTTAAAATAAGCTTAGATATAAAAGAACAACTTTTAAAACTTAGTGGTGTGCAGATCAATTGGCCACCGATCATAATCCGCCAATTTTCATGTAAAAATATTTAAAAGATGATCACTGATCATTGTCTTTGGTTGCTGATCCCAAAAGCAAATACCTGTGTTTGAACCTGGCTCTTTTACTCATGAGGGGGAGTTCTTATAGTAATGCAAAAAAAAGGAAAGAAATCTTTAGGTTTACAATTTATTCCAGTCAAGTATAACAACATGATGATAAAAAGCCCGAATACATAGACAGTATTTACCTCAGGCACAGACTGCCACACAGCGAATTTAGTGATGCAAATAATAAGTTCTCTTACTCAAAATGTATTCTAACTCAGTCAGTACATGCCTACAGTACACATCTGCAGTATGGTGAAAGAAAGTACACACAAACCAAACCCTCAGTGTCTTTTTCTAATATAAATACAAATCGTTCTCATTATGAAACAACAGCTTTAGGTGTTGGAATGTCCATCTAGCTGACTTGCAAGTTGCCATGTCAAATAAGGATGTCCAGAGAGAAAAAACAGGAAGCATGAAGCTGCAGGATAACACAGATATGAAGAGTTACTTGAAACAGAAATGGCTATTCTAGAAGAAATTAACCTTCACCTGTATCTCTTACTTTACAAAATGCAGAGGCCCCATGTGTAGCTTCACATTCTGCAATCAAATGACAGCAAATCCTAAGCACTGTCATGTGGAACTTTTCTGCTTTTCGAGTAATGTGAAGTTCGCATCTTGAAATGGAAAAAGACCTTTGAGGTGAAACATGTCAAAATGCATCAACACAACAAACACAATATGACATTTAAAAAACAAGCACTTGGCAGAGGATGATGAATTATTGAGGCTCACAGTGGGAAACAAAGACCATATCAAACAGCAGGTAATGAAACTGAGAGTTGCTTACAAACTACTTAATGAGCATCATAGTCAATTAAAAATTAACCTGGAAAAAAAAAAAATGAATTTATCGGGTAGATGAATGATGTGGAAGACGTTGGGTTCCGCCGACTGCTCTCACGGTTGGACCTTACTTCTGGGGCATAGATATTTCACAGATGAAATGCTGTCTGAGCTCCTCTAGACAGTGGACTCTCCTTAAAGCTATAAAATTAATCTAAAAAGAGAAGAGTTTTGATATATGTTTTATAATTTTATATCCTAACAGTAACCTAGCAGTAACCTGTAAAAAAAAGAAACAAAGCTTTTTTCATGTGTTCTCCAGTATTACATTTTCACAAAATAAATACCATGCTCTTAGGCACTTTTTATTTAGCAGCATTTGATTGTTTATTTTTTTTTAAAAACATGCCTACATTTGACCTTAAATATTTCATTGTTACTTGATATAGAAAATACAGTGATATTTGTATAACTTATTCCAATGTGTTAAATATTGCATTACTGTTAGTAATATCATTTGTACTTTTACCTAAATACTTGCCGCATTGTCTCTGAATTTTTTCTTTCAGCTATGTCTAGATTGGGTCAT